TTAGGTAAAACTACACAGGAAAATGTGAATATTAGAAGAATAATAGAATTGTAGACTTGGAAGGGACCCCAAAATCTTCTAGTCCAACTCCCTACAATGCAGGAATCTTGAGTAAAAAGAAAAATCCAAACTAAAGAGCTGATAAATTTGCTTTGGAAATTGCTTACAGTTTTCAAACTGAGGTGGGAATGTGGGGAACTTAATTTAAGATTGGAAAAATGATGCCAATATTGACAGATATGCCCATCCCTAGCGTAGCCCACTGGCACTTGCTGTGACTGCATGCTCTCTGGAAAAGGATGGAGAAGCAACAGGAGGTGTTGCTTTGCTCTACTCTCTCCTTCCACCCAGGGAAGAGGGAAGGGGAGACACCTGTAGGGGCTTCCAAAGCTTCCAGCTGTGAAGCAGGTAGCCTTCTCTTCCTTTCCTCCTCTGGAGATCAAACACCAGCCCTATCTCAGCAGAATCAGGGGCCGTCCAGGTGTGCCTGCTGTCAAACTGAGCAGAACGTTCTTGCCTCTATTATGGAAATTGGAGCGTATCAGAGGCCCGGAACAGGAGCCGCACTGGCAGGTCGTGGAGGAAGTGTCCGCCCCAGGAGAAGACTCCTGACTCTCTCCTCTTTGTCTCCCGCCAATAAAATCCTCACTTCTGACACAGAGGTGTGGAGATCAACTCCCCAGATTCCACAGGAGATGGGAAATGGAGTTGCATTTTTAAGAGGCTGGTGACTGAAGAGAGAGAGAGAAAATTGTTGAGGTGGGGTCTGTCTCTTACCACCCACTACTCTTTCTTTAAGCAAAAATAAATGCAGGAGAAGCTTCAACACATTGGAGGAATTTTGAGCTAGGCTAATGTAAGCATTAGTGGGGGAGGGGAATTGCAATGTCAAGGAGAGTTCTCTCACTTCCTGCGTGATCCAGTAGACAGGAATGTTCACACTGCTCTAATTCTCAATTTCTGTTCCAGGTGCAAACTGGGATTTGTGGGTCTTGGTAGTAGGGCACCAGCTTGGATGCTGGGGTGGGGTGGGGTGGGGGGTTAGGCAGGTCGCTGCAGGATTGCCAAGCAAGAGCAGCTTCTGACGATAGTGAGGACTAGCAACCTGCTTTCCCCTTAAGCAGTTGTTCACAACAATCCAAAGTTCTGTTCCTGAATCCAGGTTGCCTTTCTGTTTTGGTTCACTTCAGGTAGCCAGTAAGATCTCCCATTCCCTCTTCTCCCATATGTGAAAACTTTTTAGGTTCGGGGCTGACGAATGGACAGAGGGCTGAGGAGCATACTTCCTCTGAGAGTGAACACAGCCATTGTGCATTATAGCCATTGATCCAAGTTGGTGGCATTCACCATATCTAGCTGGTACTTGGTTCCATTGTTTAAGCACTGTGTGGTCCATTTTAAGGAATAAGCTAAAAGGTAAAGGGACCCCTGACCATTAGGTCCAGTCGTGACCAACTCTGGAGTTGCGGTGCTCATCTCGCTTTATTGGCCAAGGGAGCCGGCGTGCAGCTTCCGGGCCATGTGGCCAGCATGACTAAGCCGCTTCTGCCAAACCAGAGCAGTGCACGGAAACGCCGTTTACCCTCCCACCAGAGTGGTACCTATTTATCTATTTGCACTTTGACGTGCTTTCGAACTGCTAGGTTGGCAGGAGCAGGGACCGAGCAACGGGAGCTCACCCTGTCACGGGGATTCGAACCGCCAACCTTCTGATCAGCATGTCCTAGGCTCTGTGGTTTAACCCACAGCGCAACCCGCATCCCTAGGGAATAAGCTACTTCTGTATAAATCTTCAGTAGACTCTTAGATAGTGGAGGCACTTATAGGAGTGAAAATAACAGTCCAGCAGCTGGATCAGGCTGAAGACCCACCTAATCCAGCATCCCGCTCTCACAGTGTTCTCACATTGTGGGGGGTGAAGCGCCAGATAAAGGTGCTGGCAGAGTTCACACACAGTTGTCACGTGAGCTGGAATGCCAGGGGACGGGCGCCTCCGAGCGGCATCTGTGCGCCAGGCGGAGCAGAAGGCCAGGGCAGCTGCTGCCGTCTCAGTTGCGCCCTCTGAGTGGCTCAGCCGGAGTCCTGATGTCACACCTGGAGACGTCTGGAGATTTGATGGGATCAAGCGCCTGGCTTTATCCCACCAGCGCTAAAGACCAGAGCAAGACAGCAGAGCCGCAGGGCTGAGATGGGTGGCAGAGCGGGAAGAAATCTCCCTTGGGTTCTTTCCACACATCGCATCCTAACTCCCCCACCCACCTACCCCTGCCTCTCTCTGCACTTTGCCTCTTTCCGCCTTGTACCTGAAATCTTCTCTGGGACAGATTCCTCCTCTGCACCCACCGCGTCTTTTTCTCCAGCAGAAAGCAGCGACACAATCCAAACCTCCCGTGATTTCCCCCTCCCAAAATCCTGGCTTCCTCCCCTCCCCGCCAAGCTTTGGCTCTGAGTGGTGGTGGGGGGAACAGCAGAGTTGAGACAGTTGGTGCATTTCTGAGCTTTCTCTCCAGGGAGCCAAGTGGGCGGGCAAGCGTGGGAGGCCTTGTCATTCAGCAGCAGGGAGCGGCGGCGGATGGCGGCGGCAGGAATAGAAAGAAGGGGAATTCCAAAGCTGCGGCTGCTCCCCCTTCCTTCCCTCGGGTGTAGACCACCTGCTCCACCATGGGCAAAGCTCCCTTTGTGCGCTTCCCTTCTTGGCCACCCCTCCTCGTTCCTCTCCAGAGTCAACAGGTCTTCACGGCTTTTAGTGCCAGGTGCAGGTTGAAGTCTTAAGTTCACAGTGCTGGTGCATAAAGCCCTTCTACAGCTTGGGACCAGGATATTTGAAGGGTCGTCTCACCCCTTCTATACCCAGTTGATCACCACGGTCTGCAGATGAGGGCCTCTTGCAGTTTTTAGGAGTTCGATTCCACACAGCGCTGGAATCGGGCTTTTAGTGTGGTGGCACCTGCCCCTTGGAATTCCCTCCTGTTAATTATTAGATAGGCACCATTTTTCTGTGGCCTTTTCAACTCCTGCAGACCTTCCTCTCTTCCAACAAGCCTTTTTACATTTCACAGCGTGCCCGCCCCCCCCACTACATCTCTGTTGGAATTGTCTTTAAGATGTTTTATTTATTTTATCATTTGTGCATTTGCCACTCTGGGCTCCTTTTGAGAAGAAAGGTGCTTTCGAACACATTTAAATCATGGCGATGAAGCGGCAATAGCATTTTTCATTGACATTGTTCCCTCGGCTCCTAATACTATGTGCATCAAGTCAAGGTGGAGATTTCTCACCCTGGTGCATGAGAAGCCAGGCACCTCTGGTTTATGGAGTGGGCCCCTTCGTGGAGATGCACTTTGTAAAGATACAGGTTTCCTTTTTAAACTTTTCAAAGTGTCCTGACCTGATGGGAGGGTAGGAATTAGACTGGGTCTACACCATACATTTAAAGCACACATCTTTCTTCAAAGAATGCTGGGAACTATAGTTTGTTCAGCATGCTGGGATTGTAGCTCTGTAAGGGGGTTAACTACAGTTTGCAGGATTCTTTGGGGCAGGGGTTGGAAGCCATGTGCTTTAAACGTATGGCATGTATGCAGCCAAACCCTTCTGAGAGAGAGGCACTGGATTCTGGCAGTGAGGCAAGGGGCACTGGCCAATGAAGACAGAGAACCCAGTGTATTGGCTTTGTCTCTTCTCCCAACCTTGCTTCCTCCAGATGTTTTTGGACTTCATCAGCCCCAGCCAACATGACCTAGTGATCAGGGGTGATGGGATGTGAATTCCAGCAGTGTCCAGAGAGCCACAGGTCATCTAGCCTTGCATCAGAAGAAGGCAGGGTTGTGACAGTGGTGTCTTTTACTCCAACCGTATGCCAGCTCTGTTAAATACTTCCTAGAAAGGCAGAGTATAAAATGTTAGGAAATGAATGAATGGCACCACCCACCCTCCCTCCGCAGCAAAGGATGTGGTGCCCTTTGGAAGAGTTCGTCTAAAGCTGTCCACCAGGATGTTCACACTCACTCTGGTTTGGGGGGTTGGGTTTTTTTTGGAGACTTGATGCATTTTTTAAAAAACAAGCAAGAGGGTTTTCTCTGCATCTGCCTGGTCATCACCTCCTGGACCAGGAAGGCTCTGCTTTCAGAAGCCAGCTGCCTTGGTGCCCGTCACAAGCACATGGATACAGGGCCCAAGGCACAATCAAAGCAGTTCCCTTAATAGATCGTTATCTGATTCAATTAACCGCGCCAACTGTTCTGATGGGAGCTCTGCAACATGCACACCCATGCATTTGGGGGGGTCACCCTCCCCAATTCACATTCTGCCTTTGCTCTCCTCCACCCCCCACCCCCCGCACCGCAATGTTACCACTGATGTTGGGAGTTCCTCTGGAGTAATGAAAAGCTTCAGCCCGTAGGGATGATCAGAGATAAAACAGTGTTGGAGGGAAGCTGCCAAAACAAGAAAATGGTAATTACTGTTGAGCTTTGCTTACAGTAAACAAACGTCTCCAGGCCTGGTTTTTTAATCTTCCACCGTGTGCTGCAGCAAGAACCTGGAGGCACCTTTGCTGTTTCAGGGGTGAGGTGGGGGAACGGGTGGCAGAAATGGTTGGGAGCCAATGGTTTTTATCTATGGGTCCCTCCAGAAGTCCTTTTCCTTGGCCATTCATGGTGATTCATGATGGTTATGGGGGCAATTATACGTGATCCCTGTTTTCAGTGCCATTTTCATAAAACCACAGAATTTTAGAGTTGGAAGGGACCCACAAGGGTCATCTAATCAAACCCTCTGCAGACGGCCATCCAACCTCTGGTTGAAGGTAGTCCGTTCCGCAGTTGAACAGCTGTTACCATCAGAAAGTTCTTCCTAATGTTTAGTCAGATTAAATGAGGAGTGGGAAGAACCAAGTCCACCGCCCTGAGCTCCTTGGAGGAAAAGGTGAGATAGAAACGCAGCAAATGAATAATGAATAAATACACACCCTCTTCATGTTTCATCTTTTCTCCTCGCAGAAAATTCACACACTCCCTTGTTGGAGGGCGCCGTGACACAGATGACCCCCGAGGAGCACTACAGGAGGATGATGTCCGCCCTCAATGAACACGGCACCTTCGAGGAGCAGCAGCAACAGCAGCAGCGCCTCTACCAGTTGGCCAACAGCATGGCGGTCCCTAGCCATAGTGGTGAGGACCCCCTTTCGTTGTCTTATCATGAGAGTGCCTGCCTGGAGCTTTGAGCCACTTCCACCACCCCTTGGGAAGCTTATCATGGAGCCCCCCGAAAGAGAACACTGGGAATGGCCCCCTAGGGGCAGTTTTACCACAACCACGTGAGTTTCCCCAGGCAGTGCACATCGGGCACAGCAGGATGTAGGAAGAAGCCTTGTGTTCAACCAGACCATTGGACCATCTAGCTCTGTGCTGTCTGCACTAGCCAGCAGCAGCTCTCTAGGGCATGGGTAGGCAAACTAAGGCCTGGGGGCCGGATCCAGCCCAATCGCCTTCTAAATCCAGCCTGTGAATCAGCGTGTTTTTACATGAGTAGAATGTGTGCTTTTATTTAAAATGCATCTCTGGGTTATTTGTGGGGCATAGGAATTCATTCATATATTTTCCCCAAAAAATATAGTCCGGCCCCCCACAAGGTCTGAGGGACAGTGGACCGGCCCTCCTTCTGAAAAAGTCTGCTGACGCCTGCTAGGGCTTCAGGCAAGCGACATTCCCAGCCAGGGGTTGAATCTGGGACCTTCTGCATGGAAAACAGATTCTCAGTATAAACAACACACTGAGCTGGACGGATCAGCGGTGTGACTGAGTATAAGGCAGCTTCATTTCTGTATCTTAAGAGAAGGGCCGTGAGTCGCTGGTAAAGCAATTGCTTCGCTAACCAAATTCAATCCCTACCTTCTCCAGTGCAGACCAGAGGTGGGAAACAATTTTCAGCCCAAGGCCTCACTTCCTTTTTTTTTTTAGCAGCCTCCCCAGGTGCCACATGCCAGTGTTGGTGGGGTGGGGAGCAGAGGGAAAAGTGGGCGGAACAATGCATGCAGATTTTTACTTTTGTGCAGCAGACTCATTTTCTGCACACAGTTCATCCACTAGTTCATTCTCCATTCAGGCAAGTGCAAGAGGCACGTCAGTGTTAAAGGGCTCATTCCAGCCAGGCAAAAACAGTGCAAAGCATGCTGGTGAGGGCTGGGTAGAGAGGCTTGGGGGAGGCACATTTGGGCCTGAGGTTCTTCACCCCAGGTGCAGACAATTCTGAGCTAGATGGACCCTGTGCTCTGGCTCAGGAGAGGGCAGCTTCCTATGATCATATACCCAAGTCCTGGGGCAACAACAGGCGGTGATTTTAACGCAGCCCGTTTCTGCATTGGGACTTAAAAGTTATCCGCCTCTGTATCTGGATGATGTTAGCTGGGTTCTTTTGAAACAGCAGTTTCTCACCTGGTGTTTTGCTGGATCAGAAACAGCTGGGAGAGGCATCCAGCCCCTTTAACTCAACCCAGGTCATGAGATAGGGAGATCAGGGGTGGGATAGAGGCGTTGCAAGGAAGGAAATGGTCTCCTTATGGTGGATCCTCCGTTTGACAGATCGTTCTCCCTGGAATTCTGCCTTTAATGCAGGGATGGGGGACTTCTGTGCCTCCAGATGTTGCTGGATTGCAGTTTACATCAGCCATGATTGGATGGGCAGATGGGAGTCTTGGGCAGATGAGAGCTGGACTAATAAAGGGTTTCCCACGCCTGCCTTGTAGGTAGGGGCCAGAGAAGGCATTGCCTTGCATTCCGCCTTGCGGCTTGCAGTGCTGCTTCCGTTCAACTGCAGTTTGCCTTCTGCCCAAAACGACAATATTTATATTGCTGTTGAAAATTTTTACGAAACTAATGACATAAATTGCATCATTATTGAGTCCACCAAAACCAGTAGCCTGCAAAAGGCTTGCTCTTGTACCTGTGCATCACCTCGCAACCGTTCTCGACTTGCATTGGCAACCAGGCAAGCAACTATTCAGAAGGCTGACTCCAGGGCAGAACTCGATGGCTAAGGGGATGGACTCCCTTCCATCTCTCACCCTGGAATAGCAGAAGCTCCCTGGGAGAAATAAGCTCAGTGAGAGCAAGTATAAATTTTATTCCTGCCAGCACAAAGCACTGATTATCTGCAGGCACGCCCAGTGGCACCAACTAACCTTTAATAATTTAGGAGCCATTTTTTTTCTTTTTCTTTAATTGCTTGTCTCTCCTTTCCTCTCCTCTCTTCCTTCCTCCCCCCCCCCTCCACTTGCACATGCCGTTCTCCATCTGCATCAATCCTCACATTCTCCCATTTCTCCCGCGCCTGGAACTGCCGTCCCCTGTAGCATCCGTGTGTCAATCACTCTTGATTTCCAAACCGTCAAGAGAGAGTAGCGTTGTAAATAACACATCCTCTGCATGTCTGCGCGGGCAGGCGGTGGGTTAGGGGGAGGCAGGGCTGTTGCTGGAAGAGAGAAGGAGGGGAGGGAGGAGGCGGGAGCGGAGGAGGGTTTGGGTGGATAGTTGCGGTCATTCGGGATCAATGCCGCTCTTGGAATTGGCAGCGCATCAGGCTTCTAAATTGCAGCCCCCACTGCAATAAAGAACAGCCGGCCTTTTTCAGATAATTAATTTATAAACATTGGAGGTGTGCAGTCACTGGCTGGAGAAAATTCTCTGGGCTTTTCAGCGTGTGAGATCTGGTGGGGCTTGATGTTCTCTTTTTCTTTCAGGGCGGGGTGGGGGGAACCCTCATTTTAAAAATCATTCAGAGAATCTGTGTTTGTGTGTTGTATATATTAGGTTTGCAATATTTAATAGCGTAATCGGGGATTGTATCCAAAGCTAGTCCTACTCAGAGTAGACCCATTTTGTGTGTGTGTGTGTGTGTGTGTGCGCGCGCGTGCGCACACACACACAAATATAAAATATCTAACTTAAATGTGGTATGGAGGGGAGGCAGGAATGTGATTTAACATGGAACATTGTGAAATGCTTTTCAATATTATTAGTATGATTAATAATTAAGTAATTGTGGGTGGTATTCGATGCTAGCCCTATTTAGAGTAGACCCACTGAGGTTGATGGGCATGACTGGCTTAAGTGCATTATAATTTCAGTAAGCTGCACTGTGTAGGACTTAGCTGGAGACAGCTCTGTGGTGGTGTTTTTGAATGTATAATGAGATACCGTGCATGCAGATTTACTCAGACATAAGCCCCGTTGAATCCCAGGTAAGAGGGTATAGGATTGCAACCATGATCTGCTTAAAAAGGTGCTACCTATGAACCAGGCAGCAGGGGTGGGTTTTTTTAAAGACAGTTTTTAATGCAAGTGCAGTCTCTACCATCAAACAGGCATCCATCCTTCTTTCATACACCAGGACAGAATGCCTCTTCCATACTGGGCCAGCTCTTCCATTAGGCAGCCAGTTCTAGGAATTCAAGACCAGCACTGAAGTGTTGCTGGAGTCCAGAGCTGTGTGTGTGCCCTGAATCTCCTAAGTGAGGTTTCTGCTCTCGGGTCCACTGATAGGGGGAGAATAAGGCTACCAATGGCTGCCAGCACTGCTGTTTCACTCAAGTCCAGGGCTTCCCATTGGGGCACCTGGCGGGCCACTGTGAGAACTGGATGAAAAACTAGATGGGCTTTTCCCTCTCCTCCCCATTTTTATCCTCTCAACAACCCTTTTTGCTAGGTAGGTAGGTAGGTAAGTTGGTGGCTGGAGCAAAGTCACCCAGTCTGAGGTTCATGCCTGAGTGGGAATTTGAACACTGGTCTCCCAGGCACTAACCCAACATCCTAACCACTAAAGCACACGCAGGCTCTCTGCAAGCCAAGGCTGTGAGTGGGCAGGCAACTGCTTGTCCCCCACTTGCATGTTCTCGAGTCCTTCATGAGATGCTCAGAAAAGGTGACTCTTACATGATCGCTCACTTCTGGGCTCAGCCAGGAGAGCTGATGAGAACAGGACTTCTCCAGTGTTACTCGGAGGGAGGATCCCACAAACTCTCATTGTCTCCTTGCCTTGCAAGCCCATTCTGGCATCCTGGGGATAAAGGCATCAAATGGTGGTGATAAATAAAGCATTGTCTGCTTCCTCCAAAGTTCTTGGTACAAACTGCCGCCAATTAGTGATTGCTAATTACCTGGCTGTGGAAGGATTACTTCTCCTGCTTTAGAAAAGGAGGGAAGGGGAGAGAGGCTTAGCTGCCTCAGCTTCGTGGCCTCGGCTGAACATGGATACAAATGTAGGAACTGTTTGTTTGTTTGTTTGTTTTTATTCAATTCCATTTGCGAATCACTTCCCATAAAATACCTCAAAGCAGTTTTGCAGTAAAAAGAACAAAACCAAAAATAGCAAAAATCATTTCCATATGTAAAAACGCTTCCATATGTAAAAACAATTCCATCTATACAAACAATTAAAGAACAATTTTGTATATAAAAACAATTACAAATCCAGTACATTTACAGATTGGGATAAAGATCTCCTCTTTCAGAGGCTTGTTGAGAAAGGATGATCCTTCAATGTGCACCCAAGTCTGTCTGTCTGTATTCTGGGAGGGATTTCTAAAGTGTCGGTTCTGCCCCTCTGAAGGCCCAATTCCTACATCATATGGAACGAACCTCCTGATAAGATGGTACCTCGTAATGGGTTGGGTATATAAGGAGCGAGAAGCTTTTTCAGGTATCCTGATCCCAAGCTTTATAGGGCTTTGCATACCAGTAAGGTAAAAGATAAAGGTAAAGGACCCCTGGATGGTTAAATCCAGTCAAAGACAACTATGGGGTTGTGGCGCTCATCTCACTTTCAGGCCAAGGGAGCCGACGTTTCTCCACAGACAAACCACCGATGTTCTGATCAGCAAGCCCAAGAGGCTCAGTGGTTTAGAGTCACCACAGTGCCACCTGTGTCCCATGCATTCACACCTTGAACTTAACCTGGGAGCTAATTGGCAGCTAGTACAAATTATCACTGTCTATAAGAAACTGTGTGTGTGTGTGTGTGCGCGTGCGCGTGCACACGCATGCTATGGTGAGTGCAGAGTATGTGCAAAGCATGACTAGGAGTACTATTTCAGGGGGAGGAACAAAGATTTCATTGGTTCAGGCAAGATTTCATACCAAGATTAGTGAACCTGCTCTTGGCGAGACCCTCTTTT